ATATTTCCAGTTAGAAAAGGGAGACTCCACAGGGCTGCATTCTTTCATTCCTCCTGCCTTCTAGAAAAAGGTGGAGAGAAAGGTGTGTGACATTTCCTCTGCCTGGGGCGCCTTTCACTTAGGGAGATATTGTAATTGATGCTTTACACACAGAATAATAACACAGTACCAAGCTGCAGGATATTTATTAGAGCTTTTTCACCTAAGAACTTAAGAACAAGTCTTTTGAAGCTTGATATAAGGAAGCCTCAAGGCAGAAGGGTGCCACAATAAACCTTTACCATTTTTTAGAAGCAGACATTGCTCAGGCAGGACTTGATTTTGCCACCTAAGAAACACCTCTGGAGCAGGTGAAGCAGCACTGAGGGTGCAGGTCATCGCTACACCTGGCAGAAGTACCTGCAGTCTTGGCATGGATCAAAACCAAAGACAAGCAACACCAACACCCAAACAACAACATTTAAACGTTCCTAACCACACAATAAGGAACAGTCTTTTTGGCTGAGGGGAAGAAGGAAACGGAACAGTGTCCAGCACTCTGCTCTCAGAGCTGTTTCTCTTCCATGTGTGTATCACAACAAGCTCCATGCCCAATATTTCCACACATCCATCTCATAAGGTAATTTTCTCACCAAACGACCACCACAGAACTTTTATGCACAGCAATACATTAACTCCCTGATATTTGCCAGCCTGCAGCAGGAGATAAGCATTCCCGAAGTAAACCCCCCCTCATTCCTCACCTTACTACTCCACAGGAAGTCGTACCACATTGATTTATCCATCCACAGTGTAGGAAATAGTTCAGTTCTCAAACACAATTTAAAAATAAGAGACACGGAATCCTGGAATGGTCTGGACTGGAAGGGACTTTAAAGCCCATCCTGTTTCCCCCCCTTGCAATGGTCAGGGACACCTTCCACTATCCCAGGCTGCTCCAAGCCCCATCTACATGGCCTTGGACATTGCCAGGGATGGAGCAGCCACAGGTGCTCTGGGCAACCTGTGCCAGAGCCTCACATCCCTCCATCCCTTGTCCCAAGTCCCTCTGCAGCTCTCCTGGAGCCCCTTTAGGCCCTGCAAGGGGCTCTGAGGTGTCCCTGGAGCCTTCTCCTCTCCAGGTGAGCACCCCCAGCTCTCCCAGCCTGGCTCCAGCCCTTGGGGTGTCTCTGTGCCCTCCTCTGGACCCACTTCAACAAGTTCACATCCTTGTTCTGCCAAGGAACCCATGCTTCAGTTTCATGTGTAAATCAAGAGTAGACCCAGGCAGCAGCTCACTCGACAGTACATCAAAGCACCAGCAAACTGTTTCAGTCTGCCTTGAATGAAGTTTGCAGCTGTATTTTCTTTGAACAGAGGCTGGCTGTCATCATCCCCACCAGGTAATGGTGCCATCAACACATCAAGCACCTTCTTACCATCTGTAGACCAATTTTACTGCTTGGAGGAGTTAAGCCAAGCGACCCAGAGAATACATTCGGTTCACCTAGTCAAGCTGACGTGAAAACATGGAATCACAGAATGGTTTGGAAGGGACCTTAAAGCCCCTGCTATGGGCTAGCTCTAGCCCCACTAGCCTGCTGCTTCAAGCCCAGTCCAGCCTGGCCTTGGACACTTCCAGGGATGGGGCAGCCACAGCTGCTCTGGGCAACCTGTTAAACCCATCAATGCATTTAACAGCCATAGCTCAGGATCACCCTTTCAGTTTATAAATACTTGAGGGCGAGTTTCAGGGTAGATTTGTTGAACCCCGAGCTCGGCGTGCCCGGCTCTCCGGAGCCGCTCGGGGCTGGTGCTGGGGTCGCATTCGCAGCCCCCTCCATGG